ATATATATATATATATATATATATATATAGAGAGAGAATCTCTCAGGAGGCCGCGCGACTCGCGCGCTCTCTCTCTCTCTCTCTCTCTCTCTCTCTCTCTCTCTCTCTCTCTCTCTCTCTCTCTCTCTCTCTCTCTCTCTTCTCGCTCTCTCTCTCTTCTCTCTCTCTCTCTCTCTCTCTCTCTCTCTCTCTCCCTCTCTCTCTATCTCTCTCTCTCTCTCTCTCTCTCTCTCTCTTCCTCTCTCTCTCCTCTCTCTCTCTCTCTCTCTCTCTCTCTCTCTCTCTCTCTTCTCTCTCTCTCTCTCTCTCTCTCTCCCCTCTCTCTCTCTCTCTCTCTCTCTCTCTCTCTCTCTCTCTCTCTCTCTCTCTCTCTCTCTCTCTCTCTCTCTCTCTCTCTCTCTTCTCTCTCTCTCTCTCTATCTCTATATCTCTCTCTCTTCTCTCTCTCTCTCTCTCTCTCTCTCTCTCTCTCTCTCTCCTCTCTCTCTCCCTCTCTCTCTCTCTCTCTATCTCTCGCTCTCTCTCTCTCTCTCTCTCTCTTCTCTCTCCTCTCTCTCTCTCTCTCCTCTCTCTCTCTCTCTCTCTCTCTCTCCTCTCTCTCTCTCTCTCTCTATCGCCCTCTCTCGCTCTTTCTATCTCTCTCTCTCTCTCTCTCTCTCTCTCTCTCTCTCTCTCCTCCTCTCTCTCTCTCTACGCTCGCTCTCTCTCTCTCTTCTGTTCTCTCTCTCTCTCTCTCTCTCTCTCTCTCTCTCTCTCTCTCTCTCTCTCTCTCTCTTCTCCTCTCTCTCTCTCTCTATCTCGCTCTCTCTCTCTCTCTCTCTCTCTCTTTATCTATATCTATATCTATATCTACATATATACATATAACATAGAGCATATATAGTATATGTATAACAAAAAGCATGCATACATGCATATACTTTTATATATATATATATATATATATATATATATATATATATATATATATATATGGTGAGTGTGCTCATGGGTTCGTCTAACTCGTGACGGCATCTAGCGTTAGGTAAATTGTGATCCTAATGCCACGAGAGCCAGTAATTCGCGTGACTTGCGCTCCGTTTTGAAAAGGTTCCCTGAGAGCTTGCGTCAGAGCGAAATCCAATTAACTGCTGGCGCGAGTGCCGCGCGCTAGGCACAAGGAACTAGTCTTAAGAGAGAGAGCTGACACGGCTGAAGCACTGCTATAGGCACACTCAGCTCTGCTGAAGAACCGGTTGGTTGTTATTCGTGATGTTTACTGCTAGGCATGGTACGTGCCCATTGTTAAAGAAATTCCACGTAATAATCCCCAAAACATAACACAAATGGTACACGGAAGAGTTTTCAAGAATGCCACCAGTGGTTTTTCGTTTTTCCGCCTCCCAGCTGTCGTATGGGCATCAGGAATTACTGTATCGACATTCTCTAAATCAACACCAATGGCTAAAGCGAGCATATGCTTTCATTCAGGGGTGGCGTCACGGAATTTGAGCTGGGCGTCGGATTTTCCGGGGGGCCTCCTGAACAAAATAGGGCCTGCTCACAGGGAAACCTCCCGTACAGTGTTGCATTTAACTGGGGTTGGGCACCGAGGGCATGCGCCCGTTGTCAACCTATTACACTCATCATATGCAAGCAAATAAATGTCGACTGCTAAAAAGTTCAGACTGAGGTCTTTTGATTATCCAGTAGAGGGTATCGACAACCTAAAACAGGGCCTCCTGTTTTAAATAACGACCTCCCGATGCAAGGCAGGGCCTCCTAGTAGAGAACGGGATGCTTCCGATTAACGAGGGGCCTCCAAATCTAGCCAGGGGGCCTCACAATCTCAAAATAGAACATCCTTATCCGAAACTACGATCATATGATGCATAAAAGAGACCTACTGTTTCAGAAATGCAACCTCCTAAACATAGAAGGTGACTCCGAAGTCCAAACAAGGACCTCCTAGTTCGCAGCGGTGGCCTCCCCAGCCATCAAAGGCGCTTCCCTAACACAACATTGGGCCTCCTGGTCTAGAGCATTGACTACCTTATGCATAAGGGTGATCCCATGATTCAGAAAGGAAGTCTCTTGACGCAGCAAAGGATATTCTGAGTCCAATTTAGTACTCTCTTTCTCAGTCATTGGGCGCTTCTTGACTTGAATTTGAGTACTCTACGTGTAAGTAAAATGCCTTTATTTTTTTAAAAAAGGTGCCCTCTCATTCTTGTGGGGGAGAGGAGGCAAAGACATGCGTTTGCCCCCCCCCCCCCCTCCCGGCAGACGGGCATGGGGACAAATTCCCCTTCTGCCCCGCTGGGTTTCGTTAGCCGTTCTTAAATTGTTGACCTCAAGTCATCTCCTCCGTCTCGAAATACGGGCTTATCTCCTTGGACACTTTGAAGCCGATTGAAAACACGAAAATCAATGCATCGATTTTCACGATTTCTTTTTCAGTGACAGATCACCTTTACAATAATTTCAGCCCACCATTTCATCGTGTGGGCTGAAATTAATGACCGCAAATCCCCAGCTTTACCTTCAGAAGCCCAATAAACCATGTTTGGGTATTGCGGCCAATCCCCAACTCGGAAAACACTGGACCGATCGCCTCGAAACCTTCGTCATTGGACTGGGGAATCGTTGATCGGTCGTCAAAAAGGTTTTCTTGTGTATAAAGCGCCTATACTTTCATCAATTGCTCTACATACAATTACCTCGGTTTACCATCCTGATCATCAGAAACCACATATGCTTCTTTGGCAGTACTTACTGTCGGAGCTAAGTCCAAACCCGGAACCCGTGGAACTGATAACCTCGAAATATTTGCTAATGAATAGAGCGTGTACGGTTTCATCCATTTACATTCTCTGAAAAGGCGCAATAAACATTTCGATACATTGTAACCAAGCCCCAGACTGGAAGATAAGTCTGCATTCATCGTGTCAATAAATGCAACATTAGGTAGGGCCCTTAACCTTGTGACATTTTCTGCAATTCTGAACCTGGTGGCCCCTGGTCACGAGGCTGTATTTAATGGTGAGCGTAGTGTGGCGGTTAGTGCAGCCACTTGCAAAGCTGTACTAAGCTGTGCCGCCTAGAGGAGACTGATGAGGCATTTCAAGATGGAGATGGTGACCTGAGGTCACCAGTCTTAGGAAACCTGATGAAGTTGTTGGCACCCAACCCCGACCCAACACAAGCTTCGAGAAGATCTTTTGATAAGTCAGATCAGTCGGTCAGATCAGATGATCAGAAGATCAGACGGCATTTGAATTTGGACTTAATTGCACTGCATCGAAGTGATTTATGCTGTAATGAAAGTAAATGTAGCGGCACGAGGTCACTGCCTTTATAACAGCCGGAGATGTGGTAGGTGGTATTCCACCCATTGCTACGAGCTCTGCTCAGCTGAGACGATCAGGCGATCAGGCGATCTGCTCAGCTATTTCCGAGTTTGGGCTTAGCTGCAACGCACCAGAGTGGCTTTGGGCTATTTGAAGGTTTTGCCAGTGACCTGAGTGTACCCAATTGGCGACGGCTGACTAAATCATCAATGCTCTATTCCAAGGTATCAGTTTCAAACGATCAATTCAGCGCTTTCCTAGCTTGGACTTGGCTGCAATGCACCAAAGCTGCTAATACGATTTTTGAAGGTCAAGGTGGTGACTTGAAGTGGTCTGTACTTAAAACGGCTGGCGGAATAATACGCGTTTCATCGATTCGTGAGCGTTCAGGTAGACCGGTTCGGTTGTGTCTGAGTTTGGACACAGCTGCTGATCAGCGAACTGGTTATGTGAGCGCTACGAACCTTTTGCGCTCGGCAACAGCACCAGAGGACGATCAGAGATGGCGCCGCGGGCATCACGGGGTGCACACGCATTGCTTCTGAACAACGCAATGCTCGTCCGGCCGCTGCTGTGTGTGTAGCGCCCGCGCGGGGACGGACCCAAACAAGGCGCAGCCGACAGCCCGACCGACCGACGGAGGGAGTTCTGCAGTCGCGGTGGTGAGGTCATGACGATGACACTTTACGACGGACCGGCGCAATGAGCACGAGGAAGGTGCGATGGAATGGACTGTTCCCAGAACTTTGATCTCCCAGAGAACCTGTTGTCCTATTGGCCGGCTGCACGACGACGGACAGGTGGTCTGTGGCCTGGTCTGACGACCACAGACCACTGACAGCTGGTCTGTGGTCGTCAGACGAGGCCACAGACTACAGACCACAGACGGCTGGTCTGTGGTCTCTGGTCTGACAACGGACGGGTGGTCTGTCGTCTTTAGTCTGGTCGGGCGTCACATTGCTGCCCGTCTGACCGGGCAGCTAGTCTGCGAATGCCGCCTGGTCGGCCCTCGTCTAATGGGTACGGCCGTCCTCTCAGAGCTGTGCACCAGCTATCATGGAAACGAGGAGACGAAAATTCGTCCCCACAAAATCGTATATTGGACGGGTCTCGACGACATCATTGGCACGAATAGTGGTCAGCCACGTCACCATGAGCTGCCATCTCAAATCTTACTTATTTAACCAGGTAATTGCACGCCAATCGCAATCACCCTGATGGTGATAGACCCGATCCCAGGACGCAATGCGTAAGATCCCTTGAATTAATTTTTACTGCAACCAAGCTCATGGTCACTGTCATCTGCATCACCCGTGCCCCTGACGTCATCCGGTCAGACGGTGGCCCGCCAGTTCACCTCACAGCTCTTCGGGGGACATTTGGATCAGAAGAGTAGTGCCTCATTTTGGAGTTACTCGAATGAGTGGTGACGAAGCATCGTCTGCTCCATGGGTGCTTAGACTACTTTTTTGAAACTGTACCTGCAGACGCTCCGGGGGTTGCTTCTTTTGTACTATAGAGTTCAACACGTGGGAATTGTTGTCGCATTTGCACAGTAAACTAGCCAGACAAATTTTAGTTCACTCAATCCTCGAGATGCACCACATAGGAAACTTTTGCGCTGTATTTGTAACAGCGTTGGCCGAAAGCTCGAAAACGTTTCAGCTTGTTTGGTGCATGACCGTGGTTGGAGGCTTGCTCGAGCTGGCTGGGCAGGCCAGCGACCACGATACTTGAACTTCGTTCAGGTGGGTATTGGTTTGTTGATTTTGCCTTGCGTCCTGTTCGTGATAAGTGACTGATGACGGCTAGCGTTTTGCACAAGGTCAAGGGAGGAAATGGCAGTAAATGTAAAAGGAACCACCAATGACTTCATGTTCCGGTAGCCGCTCGTAAGGATCATCGTCCTAACGTTGAATTTTTGCGGCATTCCAAAATTCATCCAGTAGGGTGTGCACGATGTAGATATGAATTCATGCTACAAGAAGCCTGGCTCTGGTGACCCCTGCATGCAATTTGTTGGCACTAGTCTGTTGCCCTTTGACCCTGAACCCAGACATCTGACCTGCCCAGCCCAGTTGCCCAGCCTGAGGTGCTTAGATACTGGGTTATCAGCTGCCTGGTTTGATGCTGATTGGCTGATTTAGAACAAGGAGAGGGGCAACAGGCAGTAAGCTCCAAGCCGGGATGCATAGCATGACAATTTTGACATCCCTGCTGTCCGAGTGGTGGAATATTGGAATGCTAAATTTGTGAGTATTTGTAGTGGTGATTTACATTATTTTTGCCAGGGCCCTATCCCAACCAGTACTAATGGACCTCAATGTTAGGCTGTCCTTAGTATTGGAAGGTACCAAAGCTCAAGCGAACAAGAAGTTCCCGACAAAGCCCTCCTTTGGGCATTTTTGATTGTCCTGCCAGTATTTTACTGAATTGAAAGACTATTTAGCAAATGAGCCACAAAGTGTTAAGAGTTGTAGTGATTGGGGCTCTCTACTGCCTTGACTGCAAAGTCATATGCCCAAAATATTTTAAAAAAGTTTTGGTATTTTGGTAACATGCCTTCATTGAAATAAGAAGTAGAAGTGAATTTCTGGCAGGCCCCTGGTCTGTCCCAGATTATTTACAAAATTTGATGCATTTGGTACCTGCCCAGGGTGACCACATGTATTCCTCTTGTTTCATTAGTTGTGCACATGGCCATTGTTTTCATTGGTTTTCACATGATGTGTGAATTCATATTGCTGACTTGCAGGAGGTTTTGCCTATTTCACAATGTGTTTTATATTGTTCAAATGTTTCCTTCAACCATGGTTGAACCTTGGATTAGAAGCAAGGTTAAAGTCCTGGGTTAAAGCATTTAGATTCAGTCAATGGCTGAGTCATGATGCACTGATTGTGGGACTCCATGTTGTTTTTAGTTGCTGTTAAAGACTTGAGGCTGGACCATGTGTATGCTCTTTCATTTATTGTGGTCTGCTGTTGTATTATTATTGTCTCATTTTTACATGTTCTTAACACATGATTCAAAGCTCATTACATCTGAAAATCACAATTATTCCTTGAAAACGCTTAGGCTCAGGTCAAAGGTAGCTTATATTAAAACCAGAGGTGCACCCTGCAACCTACTTCATATGCAGCTACCCTGACAGTCTCACATCCATCATGCAGACTGTCATGGGCCATGAGAAGAAAAAGAAGAAAGACAAGGACCGCGACCGGGAGCGGCGGCGGCGACACAGCCGCACGCCCTCGCCGAGCCCGGACGGCGCCGACGGCGAGCGGCGTCGGCGGCGCAAGCACAAGAAGCACAAGGAGCGCAAGCGACGCCACGAGTCCGAACCGTCAGGCAGCCCGCCGCCGGCCGCGCCGCCGCCGCCTAAGCTGAGCCGCAGCTCGCCGCCGCCGCCGCCGTCGCTGGCGGCGCGCGCCGGCCGGCAGGAGGCGGCGCCGGCCGCGCCGCCGCCGCCGCGGCTCTCTCGCCAGTCCCCCGGCCCGGGCGACGGTGGCGGCGGTGGAGGAGGAGACGGCGGTGGTGGCGGTGGAGGGGGCGGCGATGTGTCTCTCTCCATCGCGGAGACCAACAGACTGCGTGCCGAGCTGGGGCTGCGGCCGCTGGACATCAAGAATGAGGGCGGCACCGGCGAGACTGCCGCCGAGGGCCCGCGCATGGGCTCGTCCGACACGTACGCCATCCACAAGCGGCCAGGTGCGTGGCGGCGGGCAGGGCAGGCCTGAGGGGCGGTCGCCGGGGTTGCGAGAGCCTGCGTAAGGTGACTAGTTGCGAGTGTGGGTTTGTGTAGTGTGGGGCCCCCCGTTTATGTTTACTTGTTTCGTCTAATATTAATTGGGTAGTTGATAGCTTCGTGACATTCAGATAATTTAGTTTAAGGTATGGGGGGGGGGGGGGGCTGAAAAGTAAAAACCTTTATCTCTCCCACGAATCAGCGATCTGGTGTATGTCTCAAACGGTCGTGCCCGATATGGACGCTCTCTATTAAATGCTGCAGAACAAGAAGCCACAGGTCTCGCCCTTGACCGATATGGCCAGCCATTGACAGTGGTCGTGCTAAAGGTCAGGTGACGTCAGAGGCCGGAACAGGCTGTGCCGGTCACTGTGATACAGCAGCATCGCAAAATCCACCGAATTCTGCCATTGATGTGGAATTTTACTGTCAGGTGGTATTGGCCAGGGCTGTTGCAGCGAGCGCTACTCCGCATTTGCTGTGATTCCAGTAATCCGTCCATTTGAGAGGTTCGGACTAAATCTTAAAAACGCCCATCCGCGTTCTGCTGGCTAGCTCCCCCCCCCCCCCCTCCCCATCTTTCCACAGAGCACATGGGCGAGAAGAAGCGCACCGAGAAGCTGCGCGAGCGGCTGGCGGCGCGGCGCGAGCAGCGCGCCATCGAGGCGCGGCTGGCGCGCGGCCGCGGCCTCGGCGAGTCGTCGTCGGACGAGGACACGGCCGCTGCCTGGGTCGCCAAGTCCCGCCAGCTGCAGAAGGAGAAAGAGATGGCCTCCAAACGGGTGAGGTTTTTGCTGGTGGGCAGTTCAGGCATATGATTGCAAACCATTTTCTGGGGTGGCTAGGCTATGAACGTGTGGGACTGTGAATTCTGCTCAATGGACATGTGGCGACTTGATCCGACCTATAGCCGTTTATAGCAGTGGAAATGTTCGTGGCCTCGTTTATTTTATACGAAGTGCCAGGGGCGCGGACCGTTTCATACACCTATTTCGTTGTCAATGAATTTGGCAATAAGCCTTAAGCGACGATGTCTGGCGATTTCTGAGCTACATGCATGTGACTCACGTGATGTGAGTGGCATTCGTTCCGAAGTCGGCGAGCAAGCATGCAAGCGTCGACGGCTAGAGCGAAGTTTGACTGGTCGGCTGCCAGTCCGCCCGCCAGCTTCGCGACGTGTCCCGCCCAGACCCGTCAGCTTCGCGACGTGTCCCGCCCAAACCCGCTTTCTCTCGCCGTCTGTCCACGATTCGCCATCTCTCCGCCAGGCGGCTCTGCTGGACGACCTGGATGCCGAGTTCGGCGTGGGCGAGCTGGTGGCCGCCGAGACGGAGGAGGCGCGCGCCGCCGCCTACACGGCCGGCGACCTGCGCGGCCTGACCGTGGAGCACCAGCCCGACCGATTCGTCGAGGGACGTGAGGTGGTGCTCACCATCAAGGACCGCGGCGTGCTTGACGAGGAGGACGACGTGCTCGTCAACGTCAACATGGTGGACGACGAGCGGCACCAGAAGGTAGGGTTGTTGGCCAGATCGCGCGGGTCGCAGCCGCCAACAAGGCGTGTGGGTGTGGTGACGGGGAAATTGTAGTGCGTTTGGGATAATTGCGGGAATGCGCCGCGGAACACGGCCGTTTCTTTGCATGGAGGCAGTGTGAGCTGGATCGATGCGATAGTTATATCCGCTCTCACGTCTGTTGCCCGCTCGCCGGGCGTCCTTTGCCGACTGGTCACTGACCTGATCGCGCTTGTTTCACAACCTTATAAATGTACCGAACTCATCGCACCTGGCAGGCTTCTGTTTAAATCTCGTGTACGGTGCAGGCGTTGCTTTCTTGTCATTCTGCTTTGCCTCATTTGTACAGTATCAATGTCCTGGCGTGCAGCTTCGCGTCATATTTTACACAAACCGATCCTACAGCCGCGGCATTGCTGAGTGTGTGCCTGCGCTGTATAGCCCACTGACGGCCGACCCCCTCCCCCTCCTCCTGTGGGCGTCACCGCCCTCCGCCCCCGTCATCCTGTCGTTGACGTCCCCAGAATGTGGCGGTGCGGCGCCAGAAGCCCGGCTACCGGCCAGACGACCAGGATGAGTGGGACGAGGAGGGCAACTACCGGCCCAGGACCCTGCTCAGCCAGTACGATGAGGAACTGGAGGGCGAGAAGAAGTCCTCGTTTGTTATCGGTGAGGAGTGCACGGTGCCGAGGGGCGCGCGCCCGCCGATGAATGCTGGCCCATGGAGATTCGTTGCAGCCTTTGCGTTGTTTCAGCTTTGTGGGCTCATGTCTGCTAATTTACATTCTCGTGTGTCTGGGATGCGTATCGTGACGTAGCGTCTCATTTAACGTGGAAGGGGCTTTCTTGCTTGCTTACTGGACTGATACAGAAGCCTTACTCATGATCATAGTCTGAATCGCCTTTCTATTTTAGCCTTTGATATGAACTATTGTGCCATAACCCCGTGATATGGTGAGGCAAGTGCGTCTCGGACGGTGACGGCCGTCCGCGGCTGTGCATGACGCGGCGATGACCCTGCGCGGGCCGTTCCCATTAAACAGTGCCAAGCTCGACGTCGTGGGGCTGTTACGTAGCCGAGCTATTGTGCCGGTTAGCTGCGGTTAGCTCCTGTCGTGGTCCCGTGCGACCGTAACTTCGTGTGACCCCGACGGCGGCCGCGCGCGACCCTGAACGTGACCGCCGTGACCGCAGGCCAGGCAGGTCAGGCGGTGTCGGTGCCGTCGTCGGCCGACACCGCCCGCCTCGTCAAGCAGAAGCTCCAGCAGAAGAGCCTCGTGTCGCTGGACATGCCGGCCCCGCGCGTCGCCTCCGAGTTCTACACCGAAGGCGAGATGGCCTCCTTCAAGAAGGTTAAGAAAAAGGCGAGTGCCAGGGAGATGGGTCTGCTGTGGTCTGGTCTGGTCTGGCGCCAGGCTGGGTGTAGCGGGGTTGGGGTCGGGTGGCCCTCTGACATGGAGACCTCCTCGGAGCGTGTCGTTGGGGAATAGCCACACGCGGCTGTTGGGTGCTGTTGTATTGGGTGCAGTGGATTTACTCATGTGAACACATGTGGTGCGGATAGATCGCATTATCGTGCAGTTCGTGTTCCAGGTTACGTGAGAATGCACGCTTGCTTTGGTGCGATACGTCATCTTTATGTATGTTTTGTGGGGGACGGATGGTATAGGCTGGGCCTTGTATCGAGCATTTGTGCGTAATTGTGCCGCATCTCGGTCATTCGCCGCAAGCGCACCAGACACGGCCGGGTTCGATCTGGTATATCGGTGTCCGTCCCATCACGGCGCGCGCGCCCCGGCTGTGACGTGACGGTTCGTGAGGACCCGACCGTGCGCTGACCGCGCGTGGCGGCTGTGCACGCAGGTGCGTAAGGTGCGTAAGAGGGGCCGAGCGCTGCGCGCTGACGACCTGCTGCCGCTGGCGGAGGAGGATCAGTCAACCCACCTGAGCTCGCGGACCGTCAAGACCGAGCCGGCCGACAGCGATGACGAGCCGACGGCCGTCACCGACGACACAGGTCAGCTGGGGCGGCGCGCTGGCCGGCTGCAGGTCAGCAGTCGGGCACTTGAGGTCAGCGCGCGGGGCAGGTCGGGATGCTCGGGGACATGTCTCCACATCTGTGCAGGTCAGGAGACTGGGGTATAGGCGGGGGACGTGGTACAAATGTGTACAGTTGTCTTAAAAAACAGAAAATGTCCAATTGCTGAGCACATAACATTATTGGGCATGCGTGTGTTAGGAGCGCACTTCGTTGGGATGCGCATACATGCCAGCGTAATGAGCACGGACCCGCACACTGGGGTACAGACTGCCACAGAGTTATTGGCCAGCGACGGGCTCAGCTAGGCACACTGAGGTGTAACTCAGCTCGAGGGTCCGGATCGGCACATGGTGGGAAAGTCAGGCGGGTCATCAAAGGCATTGAAGTTGTCCGTGTGAACATTCGGGCATGGGTCAGGTCAACACGGGGCAACTAGTCACCACGGGAACACACGTGAGCTCGGGGGTCGAAAGCAGTATGGGGGTCAACATAGGACTCCGGCCAGCGGCAGTCAGCGCCAGGGACCAGCGCAGCCAGCAGCGCAGCTAAGGTGTGGTCTTTTGTACCACGCTCTCTGGAGGTGCCCCCGTCCCGGCCCGAAAGCCCCATTGCATTTTGTTAGTTAAAAGAGTAGGGTTTCTAGAACATGTAAAATTGAGCCATCAAGAAGGAACGCGGACCTAAAAAGGTCCTTGGAATCGAAACACAGACCCTCTTGGCTGAAAGGGCCCCAGTACCCTGCTTTGACCCCTCCTGTGCAGAATCCTGACCATGTCACTGGGCGGAGACAGGCGTGGCATTGCAGTCGCCCGTATCGTTACAAAGCTGCAGACTCGCGCCGCTGACCCACCTGCGTCCCCAGCCGTGCTGACCGCCGACCTGACGGGCGTCAAGCTGGAACCGGAGGAGTCTGGCGAGGCCGAGCTCAGCCGCGCCATCGAACGCTCCCGCCGGCTGCGACAGACGGAGCCGCAGGTGAGGGCCTGGCGTCACGTCCCCGCCTCCCCCTTCCTCCTCTCGTGCTCAGTCAGTCTCGGGTCTGACCCTCCGTCGCCGAGTCATTAGCTGAGGCGCTGGTGATGGGCACGGTCGTGGGCGCTGAGGCGGTTCAGGATGGCTTTGTCGGCTGCATGCTCATGTCCTGTTCATGATCATGTTCATGTTCTGACCGGAGACACGCTCAGCGAGTCGCCCTCCCAGACACAGCGCCCAGCCCCTCCCGTGTGAGATGTCACTAGGTGAACGCTGTCGCGACCACATATCAGTCTTCCGCATATGTGGGTCTGGTCTGCGTCTTCGAGACGTTTTGTGACTAGGCATTCTCTGTATATGGCACACACATGCGTGCTGCGACACGGCCATGCTCAAATGGTTGTTGGCGATAGGTTTTTCCCAGGCCCACTCCACCAAGCCTGATCACCGAGGCTGTTCCAGGTCCACTCCACCAAGCCTGATCACCGAGGTTGTTCCAGGCCCACTCCACCAAGCCCCACCACCATGCGCCGGCTGACTAGCTTGTGTCCCTGCGGCAGGAGCCGGCGGCGGCGGCGGCGGCCGGCCCGGTCCGCAGTTCGACGGAGCAGCGGCTGGCGGAGCTGGCCGCCCAGCTGCGCCGCGCCGACCCGACCGACCCGGCCGCCACCCAGAGCATCGTGCTCAACTCAACTGCCGAGTTCTGCCGCTCGCTCGGCGACATACCCACCTACGGCATGGCTGGTACGTGCCCGGCGGGCGCCGGTGGGGGTGCCGCGTTGCGCACGTGTGCGCGGTGCCTGGGGCCTCGCGGGACAGGTGGAGACGCTGCCTCGGAGGGTGGGAAGAACGGTGGCTTGAGGCTGCAGGGAGCTGGGTACTGGTCAGGGCTTAAGTTGTTGATTTTGTTTATAGGGGTTTCGGGCGTGCCGCTGACTGGGCTAGGGCGTGGTACAACTGGCAAGTACGTTCGAAAGGCACATACGTAACGGTGCGCAGGCACCCGCTGCACGTTGTGGCCAGGGTCAGTGGTCTGGCCGATGCCGGCGGCGCGCGTCTTGTTCCTGACAGGACCGAGCAGGGGCACGCATGATGGTGCATATCTTGTACATCGCGTGTACAGCCTCTGGCGTGTTGTCTTCTCGGTCAGAGGCATGCGTCGTTATTAATTTGTGTTCGCAATCGATTTTGCCCAACAATGCTCCCAACACGGTCACCTCAGCTTCCACGCGGCGACACAGTGGTCGTTCCCTGGTTTAGATCGCGTCCAGCATCTGTCTGGCAGCCAGCCGAGGAGCATCCCCTGCGACCCGCGAGGTGGCTCGGGGTCGGCTGAGATGGTCGGTCCGCTCCCCGGTGCTGATCGTGCTCCCCGGCAGGCAACCGTGACGAGGAGGCCGAGGAGATCGCCAGCCTGGAGCGCGAGCTCGCCGAGGAGCGGCGGCGCACGGACATGGAGCGCGCGGCCGCCGGCGGCGTCTGGGAGGAGGTGGGGCCGGACGAGGCGGCCGCGCCCGCCGACGCCGCCGCCGAGAGCGCCGCCATCCTGGAGGAGGAGCCCGAGGTGGGCTCGGGCCTGGCTGGCGCGCTCAAGCTCGCCATGCACAAGGGCTATGTGGACGTGGAGGAGGCGGGCAAGAAGGTAGGCGACGTGGGCGAGTGGCGCGGAGCGGGTGCACACGGAGTGGAGATCCTACGGGGTCGGCACGTGTTATGTGGGGGGAGGGGGGGGGGGCTCAGCAATCAGATGGAGATACCGTGATATGCCACCATGCCTCTGCAAGTGGAGATGCAGTATAGTAGTTCGAACCAGGCCAGTTCACTTGGAATCAGGAAGGTGCTTTGTCAGTATTTCATAGTACCTTGCGTCGCGTTGGCTCCTAGTCGTTAGGCCCGGTAGGCCCGAATGGGCCATCATGCGTGCTGCTGCAGTGCCCACGCGGAATGTCCATCGATACAGGCCCGCACCGGGACCGGATACTCACCGGGTCGCCCCGCCTGGCTGAACGCTATGACCTTTCGCAGGGTGCCAGCCAGCAGGTGCTGTCCCACCTGCGCGCGCAGAACTACTCGATCGAGGACAAGAGCGCCATGGACGACGACCGGAACCGCAGCCGGAGCAGCTACAGCGGTGGCGGCCCGGTCACCGAGTTCCGCGATAAGGCCCACTACAAGCCCGAGGTCAAGCTCGAGTACATCGACGACCAGGGCCGCCTGCTTAGCTCCAAGGAGGCGTTCAGGTGCGGCCGCCGATGGCGCGGCCCGCGCGTGGGCCAAGGGTGACGGGTGCCAACCGGAGGGGACCGGACGGGGTCCGGAGTCGTGTGCTATTTGGAGAAGGGAAAAGGGTTGAGAGTTAAGAGAAGGGTTGGTGGTCATGGGTTGCGGTATGGACACTTTGTAAAAAGGTGTTTACGCATGAATTGATGTGGTATGCTAATTTCCGTATCGACCGCATCTTTCCGGACCCTACGTGTGGTGTGACGCAGCACTTCGCCTCGACGCCAGGTATTTGTCGCACAAGTTCCACGGCAAGGGCTCCGGCAAGATGAAGACCGAGAAGCGCGAGAAGAAGATCCAGGAGAGTCTGCTGATGGCACAGATGAACTCGACCGACACGCCGCTCAACACGCTGGCGCGCCTGCAGGAGAAGCAGAAGGAGCTACAGTCGCCCTACGTGGTGCTCAGCGGCGCCAAACTGCTCGGCAGCGGCGCCTCAGGGTCAGTAGTGCAGCGCTGGTGTAGACGTTTCAGGGATGCGGAGGGCAGTCCAGTGTTTACCGGGATGGGCAGAGCTGGGAGACACGCACGGCGCGCCGAAATAGACCGCAGTCTTTGGATTTTGATCTTGGGATATGACGTTGGTCAAAAAGTACGATTGTAGCGTGCTTTCCCCCAGGAGCATGCACCGGGGTTGACTAGGGTGACTAGATGCTCAGTGATTGATGCACTGTTCAGCGGCATTCGTGCCGGCGCCCATCCAACGCAACGGTTTCGTTCGATTTCAGGTCACAAGTAGCGAAACATTGACACCCAGCGGCTGTGGCGTAGCCCATGGTTGGTCGGGGGCCGGGTCCGCCGGCCCGGCGCCGTGCGAGTCGTCTGAAGACCAAGATCTGGTTCTGCGCAGAGGCCCGGGTGGCCGCTGGTGCCGTGACGCGGTCATCCCCGCGGAGCTCGCGCCACCACAGCGGGACCGGAGCGCGCCCGTCACGTGACACGAGTCGTCACCGCGACGCCGGGTCGGACCCGGCCAGCCCACACGGCGTCCCCCGCCGGACTGGGAGGCGGCGGCGGCGGCGGACGCGGGCCCGGGTCCCGGCGGGGCGGCGAGCCGACGGCACCCGCCCAGCGCGTGAAGGGTGTGACGCGTCCGGCCCTCCGGCGCCGTCGGAGCCGCTAGAGGCGCTCTGAGGTGCCAGCGCCACGTCCATGTAATGTTCCATGATATACACTGGGCCTCACCTGCCCGCCCTGGTCATCGACGAACTATTTGCGGCGTTGGATGTGTGACGATCGAGTAATGATGTAGTGAACGAGAGCGGTACGCTCTGTAGAGCTCTTCACAACATGCTTTGAGAAAACCCAAAAGCGCCTTTTCTGAACACGGTGTTCATTGGCATAAACCCACACAGGCTACGCGACAATGCGTTGCTCGCAAACAGTCCCATACAAACTTGGTGGTCAGCGTACGTAAAGTAGAAATATAAAAGCTACCAGCGTCGGTAGTTCATCGAATAGCCATTTGCTCGATTAGCTTGCTCGCATGGCTCGTCCCAGCCATTTCAGCGTGCCGCGCGCAACTATCACACGAACCCTGCACACGCGGCAAACGACCAGCTAGTGGCCGCCGGAGTAAAGCTATCACTGTGCGCCGTCTGCCGCACATTTGGCCGCAAGTCCGTCGCGCCACACGGTATTCCGCTCCCAGTGCATCACGACGCCGGGCCTCCGCGCTCACGCCGACATCTAGCGGCAGTCCAGGGAACTTGAGCCTCAGCTGCCGTCACAAGGGGGCGGAGGCGTCACCTGGCCGTCTGCCGAATGTAGAGCGTCGAATTGAGCTCGGGCCGTACCTCGCCCGTCACTATGCGCGTCTTGAAGTGCGTCATCAGGCGGCCTGTGGGCAGTGTGCGGTCAGAGGCAATGTGTACATCGAACAGCAAGTGCGAGCGACTACATATAAACAATCAACTTTGCACAACCAAACTCGTAACCGACGTAGCCAGCACATTCGTCCTGCACCCTATGCATGTCCAATTTCTCCTCCAAACCATCATGGCTAACAACTGCACGGCTTATTTACACTGATACTCTACACTGTACTGTCATTCCACCAAGTCGTTCCACACCACCACCAAGTCATATTCCGTTTATGTCCTAATTGGCACCGACGACCTAGCGACTGGCGGTGTCATGAACACAGCCAACCAGCGGTCTCGGTGGTCTGGTTGGTGTTCTAATTGGCCCAGGCGGCCAAGCCATGCAGCAGCACGCCACGGTGATTCAACCGTGGTCCGGCCCATGCCCGTGATCACGACGTGTTCCCACCTGTGCAGGTGACCCCCCCCCCCCCCCCCCCCCCCGGCTGCCTGCTGATATGCTCGGGCTCCCCAGCTACACCCAGACCAGTCCTACCAGTCCGGCTCCCGTACAAACTGTCTCAAAGGACCTGATCCGCGGTGCATGACCAGCCGCCGAGTTAGTCCAGTTGTTCGCTGACTCGTCCCCGTGGTCCACTGTCGACACTTCCCGTAGTCCAGCTGCCCCCGTGGCCCCGCTGCTGACCCGTCCTCGCGGTCAAGCCGTGTCCTCACCCATTCAATACGGTACACCTGTAACGCGACATGTCCGGTAGCCCCGTTGTAACCCGGCTCGTCCAGCTGCCCTGCTTTGCACTGATTTCCCCATCAGTTCACCATCCACCAGAGCTGTTCTGACGGGCCAGCCGTGACCTGACCTGTCCACGTGGCCGTGCCTTGACCTAACCCGTCCATGTGACCGTGCCGCGACATACGCTGTCCACGTGACCGCGCCGTGACATGACCTGTCCACGTGGTCGTATCGTAGTCTGACCTGTCCACGTAGCCATGCCGTGACCTGACCTGTACACGTGACCGTGTAGTGACCTGACCTGCACACGTGGCCGTGTAGTGACCTGACCTGCACACGTGGCCGTGTCGTGACCTGACCTGGCCACCTGGCCGTGAAGTGACCTGACCTGTACACGTGGCCGTGTCGTGACCTGACCTGGCCACCTGGCCGTGCCGTGGCCTGACCCGGCCACCTGGCCGCGTCATGACCTGACCTGTCCAGGTGGTGCGATTGGTGAGCACGTATCCCTCGCAGCGGCGGTCGGCCGAGCAGAGGGCCGACGCCTCGCGCTGGCCCGAAACGGACAGCGAGCACCGGCCTAGCTCCGAGGAGAGAGAGCACCGGTAGTTGTGGCCCGGCAGCGTAGCGTTGTACACCGGCTCGTACTCGGCTGAGGACGGCCAGCGCGCAGGTCAGCAGTCCGCCACGCGTCCCTACCGTGCGCGGCGGACGCCCAGCCGCACAAGCCGGGCGCACGGGTGTTACGGGTAACTTTGGGGCGCATCGGGTCAGAAGACGGACAGCCCTCCGGTTACATGGTGTGGGCACCACCACCCAGGAGAGAATGCGTCGGCGCACGACCTACCGGGCATTTACACGAGACTACGCGACAATCTCCATCTAAGCCTTACTTACCGCGTGCTACTTTAAGTACTCAGAAGTACCCGCATGCCTTACTACCGGGTACTTACAAACGGAGTCACGCGATAATCCCCACGGTAGCTTGCCGGCGAGGTACACACAGCAGCAGCAGCCGTTACCGCCGTCAGCGACAGCGGCGGAGAATGTCCCGCCAGCCCGTTCAGTCCCCCCCCCCCATTCAGCCGGATCGCCGCGCTCCGCGCTCCGCTCCCTTCCGCATCCCGCTCGGCCCGCGGTTCCCATCCAGTCCCCCTCCTCCCGCCCAACCCGCCGCTCCCACCCAGTCCTCCTCCTCCCGCTCGGCGCACGTGTCCCCTGCCGCCGCAGCCGCCGCGGCCCGTACCGGAGCCGCTGTCGGTGACACCGTAGCCGTGCCGCTGGAACAGCTCCAGCAGACGGTGGGCGCGACTGCGCATCTCGGCGGCGCTCCGGTCGGCCGCCGCGTACCCGGCCACCAGGGCGGCGACACTGGCGTTCAGAGGTGCCGGCGCGCCCTGCTCCAACAGCGGCGCCAGCAGCCGCGGCGCCGCCAGCGCCTGGTTACGCCGCGCATTGTATCCCTGGGGACGAGGAGAGAGGCGGGGGTTAAGGGGCGGGAGGGGGGGGGGGGGGGGGGGAGGGCGAAGGTGGAGCGCGCGGTATGGTCGGGTGCGTAGCACGAATGCCTCCGCGGGCACAAGTGACCATCCGATACACGCCACGGAGCGTACTGGTGATGTGAGCATGGTGCCCAAGGACTAGATGCGTAACGCTCGTATTAGTAATGCAACGGACGACTCGTTCGGGAAACGCAATACTGGGCGCGCCTTGGCAAACACGAATCATTATTTACTTAAGGGAGCCATCAGCAAATTGTTTTTCAATGAAGTGGACAAAGCACTGCTTTCATAATGTTCATAACAAATACGCAATAAAACGAGTAAAACACTCGTAAAATCGGCGTACACACATATGACCGCCGCCAACCGAACGGCGATGAAGCGTTGAGGACACAGGGTGGCGGTCGGCCGACTGACCTGACACCTGCCGGCCGTACAGCGCACCAGCGGAGCGGCGGCGGCGGCCGGCGACGGCAGCAGGCACTGCTCGGCGCTCCGACAGCGCGGCTCCTCCAGCTGCAGGTCGTCCAGGTCAGCCAGCTTGAGCCGGCCGTCGGCGGCGAGGAACTGCTCCAGCCGGAGGTCGGCCAAGCCGGCCGGGCCCAACGGCGACGTGGCCAGGTACTGGAGCAGGTCGGCCGCGTCCAGCGCCAGCCGCAGCCGCTGCTCCCAGGAGCGCTGCAGCAGCGCCAGCTGGTGCAGCGGCTCGCCCAGCTCGGTCACCATGGCGACCACGCTGCTCTCGCCGCGGCCCAGCGACATGCAGAAGCCGTACAGCTGCCGGTCACGGGCGAACCGCGCGGGTCAGATGGGGGTGGTACCAGACGCGGGGGACGGGCGCCATCGTCTGGCCATGCCTGGGGCAGCAGCCCACTCACCATCTTACGTCGAGCACAATGCCCGTCTATGTGGTGAATACCCTTCAAGACACATCTGGCACGTGCTAAATAGTAATTGCGGACGCAACGTCAAGCGTTTATCATTGGAATAAGTATTAATTTGTGGGAAATGCAACTGGTCACGCGCCACATCAATGGGTGGCCACGTCCAGCAAATCCCCGCTATCCGCGAGGCACGTCGCAAAAATCCCAATAAACCACTTTCTATTTGCTTCATCTGTACCACGTGCTGGGGCCAGTCAGCCCTCTGCAGGGCCGGCCACTGCCCACCTGTATGATGTTGGGGTGGCGCAGCTGGTGCAGCAGGCGCACTTCGCGGTACATCTTCTCCGCCGTACGGCCGTAGCAGTCGGTATAGTTGGCGCCGGTCAGCCGACACTCACGCATGTCGCGGCCCTCCACGTTCACCGTCTTCACGGCCGCCGTCCGGCCCCCGTACGTGGCGGCGAACACCTCCTTGCTCCAGCCAAATCCGAGCCGCCGTCCCACCTCCAGTGTGGGAAAGTCGGCGCACGTGAACACGGCGCGCTGCCGGCCGCCCGAGACTGAGTTTTGCAACCGCTGCAGGAAGGCGTCGGCGCCGCCCAGCGGCCGGCGCGCCGGCTGGCCGCTCAGCTGGCGCCACTGCCGCTGCTCTTCCAGCTCGCGCTGCCGCTGCTCCCAGTACGCCTTCAGCACCACCACGTTAGCGACGAGGAAGACCAGCACGTAGGCGACGACGAAGGCGGTGAGGTGGGAGGCGCGCACCACATGCACGCAGCGCGCCACCTGCAGCCGGCAGGAGCGCGCCGGCGTGCAGGCCATGCCAGCCGCCGGCCGAGCCTAGGGGCGGCTGCCCAGCCAGCAGTCAACGACAGGCTGGCGCCACGTGCCCGGCAGCCGGCATTGCTGCAGCGTCACCTGTCGGCTGCAGTTAGGTCTGAGTCACCCCAAAATACAAGAAGAGTATATGGAGGTAGCTATGAACCAAAGCTGCAGTGGCTGCTGATACCACTGAAGAAATACTCAAAGACATTAAAATGAACCTACTGTACATAAATGTGAATGCTTGCTCCCTTAAAGACAATGCTCCACATTTGAAGATATTGAACAAACATCAGATACAATGAAATAAGCTCGCTTCTAACTACAAGAAAACTTTCGGCGAAAAAGACCACTCTAGATAACACAATTCCTCTGTTAAGTAAATATCCTTCTAAAAACGTCATTGTTTGCTTACTTCATTGTTCCCTGCACAACACTGATGAGAGCCAATTACGGCCGTTACATCTTGAAATCGCGCTCACGAACGCCGGATATGAATGATTCGACGATGATATATTCACTGGCTTTGATTGCCGCATAGCTAATGGAATGTCAGTTGAAAAAAAAAATGTTTGAAAAAGTTATTATGGCGTCATGGATGCCTGGGTGACCTCGAAATAGACCCCGAAATAGTCTGCACATCTTCGCGGGCAGTATGGCTCAGAAGCTAAGATTTCGGTCTTAAGGACAGGGCTGCAAACTGCACCAAATGGTCTTCAACATGGCTATCTCAGTGGAAATGCCATACAAATGTGGAACATTCCCTTCCAATGCCAGCAGAGAATATGTATACATCTGCCAATGGGCCTTATACAAATAATGTTACACATTCTTTAACTCACCTGTGCTGTGGACTCTGTCTGTCTGTTATGCTTGTGGCAAATGATTGAGATGTGACACAGTCACGTTGGAAAAATCAATACAAATCCCAGTTTATACCATCCCTCACCCACAAAATGTAGAAAAAGATGAAGTATCACACCAAATCATGTGCATGTGCAAGTCTCACATAAGCTGGAATGCAAAATGCCACCCTCCCCTCACCCTTCACCAGTTACACAATGATTATGCTGGGCAAACCTCCCTTCCCCTGGCTATGCTGCACTCAGGGTAGCATCCCTAAAATGCAATATCTGTGACCCCCATCAACCAGGATATTCAAAGTTAATGATGATCATGCATTCAAAGTAAATACTGATCATGTAATGACAGCATCAAAAGGCAAACCTACAGTTTTTGACAGCATGTTTCTTTCCCTGCAAAGGTAAGGACCATGTCTGGAGATGCCAGGACTGGGCCAAGGTGTAGGGTAAAACACACTTTGAAAAGGTATATGTGTTGAGCAAGTCTTTGCTCAGTGTCCACCCAAGAGCAGGGAATGGCATCAGCTCACTAGGGTGGGGTAGTGGGGTAACACGCCAGATCAGTAGTTTGCAGCTGACAGTGGAATCCATTGGGAAGAAATTAGAGAACCGTAATTGCCACAAGTTTCCTGGACCATACCAAAATTAAAACACTAATTCTGATGTCCTTATTGGCATGTTTGAGTGAAATCCTGTCCTTTCACAAGCCCCTGAATTCCTCTTTCACAAGCCCCTGGAGTCTGCAACACTGCCAAAAGAATGGGAAAAGTTGAAATAATTCCACTATCCAAGAAGCAGTCTACACACCCAAAACACTCCTAGCCAATTGGCCCAACTTCAAATGCCTGTTATGTTTTGGAACCTGGGGTCAGGGATCATATACTGGACTGTCTGATTTGAGGTAAACTGATATCCAAAAACCAATAGGGTTTTTGGCCTGGCAGGATCTGCTTAACTTAGCAAATCAAAGCCATAGACTATAAGGCAGAACCTCTTGACAAAAATGTCTTTTGATAATACTTTATGTCCTTTCACAAGGTTTTCAATAATGTGCAACACAAACATTCAATCCATAAGCTCAGGAATATGGGAACTGAAGGTAATAGACTGCGTTGGGTAGAAGTCTTTCTGATCAGTGACAAAATGGACATGGAATTGCAGAACTCTGGGTGGGTTCCACTGCCCAGCGATTTCTATCACGGTATATTGCTGGGCCCCTGTTGTTTCTGCCATCCAAAGTCAAAAACACGTAACTAACATTTTTATAGAAATGGAGTTATTGGTATCATTGAATTCGTCTCGACGAGGCGCACATTTTGATCAAGTAAAAAGTGTATGTTCATTATTTTAAAAAGAACTAAAAAGGGATATAAGGTTGGTAGATTAAAGTATGAGTAGTGCCTGTAAGGTTTTCCAAAGACAGAAACGAGTAACTGACACGTATCTGTGAAACGCTAGCCTCAATGGTTTCCACGCGCTCCGTTTTCCGAGTCAAAAACACGTATCCGTTTACATACGCGGTTTTGTCACCTACGATCAGCGACATTACTGTGCCAAAAGCGTGTACCTGTGAAGTTACGCGTTTTTGCCATTGGGGGCCGTTGTAAATTGAGCAGTTACGCGTTTTTGCCGTAGGAAAATGTTTGTTTCTTCAAACTGTTTCCAAATCCTGCAAATACGCGCATCTTCACAGCGGAGGTGCTGCGGCCATACACGTGCGTTGCAGTCTTTTTCGTCCAAAATGCTGCTTGCTGGTCATTTTATTCCGGCTTTGTGCGGGACACCATTCGATAAGGTTGAGCAACCGTGCTTGTTACAATTATTTGCTGGAAATTCCGTCAGCACAGGGTGTCGGCGTTACGTACCTGTAGTGCGTGCCTGACGATTAGTGCCTCGTTTTTTACTCTGTTAAGACATGGATTCAAGAAAGATACGGGGAATTTGTCACGCGCGAGTGAATTGGGATGATGCTTCCCAAGGACAATGGCACTATGTCTCACTGGGAAAATTAAGTGGGCCGGAGCCCATAGAGGCAGGAAGCAGAGTGAGCATGAAGTACGGCGGCGGAAGATGGACTGGGACCGTTGCTGGAAAGCAACCCAGCCTGGAACCGCATGATCTTGTGGAAGGTGAGCACTCGACTTCCGTACTTGTTCTTTTGTCGGGCACTGTAGTATCTACTCGTCAGATTGTCTTCCACGTGAATGAAAAGGCCACGAGCGTTACCACGCGCTGGTGGAAATGTAGCAAATGGTTTGTGGCGTAAAATGAACTGTGGACAAATGCACACAAATCGCTTTATCCTTTGGGTCATATATCTTGGCTCAGGCTTGGAATACTATGGCACAAAGCTCTGACACAACTTTTGCCGCACGTCACAAGCATCAAGCAACCGCACAGCTTGCATGGGTCGGAAAAGTAGGTGTGCAACGTTCCAGCACAGGTTTGCTCACGTTCAGCATGGCGTGGCATGCATGGACATTGGTAGATTATATCCAGGTTTTTCTGGTGATCGAAACCGCCCCAGTACATATAACAGACGCAGGCACACCACAATGCCACGAAATGCAGCATTGCTTCTGACGTGATGAATCCGGCCGTGATGATCTAAGCCAGCATCCATAATACGACTATTTAAAGGGAGTGACTCGACTCTGAGTGGTATTATTAACGCTAAACACGCTGACTTCTTCTCCAACTCATGCAATGTGAAAACATTGGCTGGATGCTAAACTCAACACGCCACGACCCGGACCCTAACGCACAGTCTTTAACTTGTCCCATTCGCATGTGTGACCTTCACATTCAATGCCCTATCACGCATACTAATACATTAACACACACACACACGCATGCATGCATACTGCGCCCCCCCCCCCCACACACACACATACCACCACCACCACAACACACACTCATTGTCCCACGTGGACCCACACAGGTGAGCGCATGTGCACGACTAACGGCGCAATGCACGTGCATGCCGACTTATGTATCCATATGCCATGGCAGTCACCCACAAGGATATTCTCTACTTCGTTGTAATCTGGCCGTCCAAGTCAAAGCCGACGATCAATCCTGGTCGTTGGATTTGCAGCTCAGAAATATCTCAGATTGCTGGGGTAACTTGGATTGGTGTTGTTTGTCTGCTTTTTCCCAAGGAATACGCATCTCACATTTTATAAGGGTAGTTTGGTGAATTATTTTCTGCCTGGTTTGTCTCGGTATAAGTGTTAAAAATGGCATGCATTGTTTCAGATGTGTCAGACGATGACCTGCCAATCGCAAGCCGATGGCACAAAGAGCATCCAGCTGGTTCCAGAAGATGTGAGATGGAGCATGCATATCCTGCTCTGATAGGGTCTGATGACTTCGCTGTTGTGGATGAGACTTCAGTGATAGGTCAGGTAACTCCCGCTAAAACACAAGGAGGTGAATTTGTTGTCCGTGGAGGAGAAAGGCCAGCAAAATTCATGGAAGGATGCTCATTTGGTGCTGGTTGCTCTGAAGCCGCAAGGCTGCTGTCGTCGCCACCCTACCCCAGTGAAGCCCAGGGTCTCATCCCGACCCAAACGCAAGGGACGGCGAGTGGTGTGAGTGAACAAGCGCTAACTCCCAGTTCAACAAGCGTACGTTCGACGGACACCCAAGGTGCCGAGCCAGCAGTGCCATATATCATTGCTGCTCTACCAGCAAACACGTCCGCGAAGCGACCCCCTTCTTCACCACCTGACCATCACAAACAGAAGCATTCCCGTGCAACCCTTGCCGACGACTTGCGGGTTACTGATGCGGACCAGCCTGAACACGTGGTGGGTTTGCACGATTCCTCGGTAGCGTTTCTCGTCACGAGTACTCCAAACGGCACACCACAGCGCTGCTCACCTCCCGTTGTGTGTGAATCGGACACTCTGTCGGGCCTACAACTCACAGATATGGCTGCAGCGGCTACCAGCGAGTCCCTGTCCGCTTTAGGAGACATCATTCGACTCTTGGATTCCGACGGGCCGTTACCAGACGAGGTTTTGAGAGACGGAAGAGAATCAGATCATGATGACCATACCGCTCTGTCAGCAGCAGACAAACAACCTGAGCAGCATGCAGAGCACGAGCAAGCTCAGCCAGCACTTACGAGCGACAGAGAGTGTTGGTGACCCAAAACCAAACGGCTCTCACGAACAACAGACGCTGCTCGAAGGGAGTGGTATCGTGCCCAGGTGGAGGTAAAGAACGCGGACAGACCGAAATGCAAACCAACCGGGGAGCAGTCTCGCAGACAGCGAACTTCGGAATGGTTTTTACCAGTCGAGGACGGGAACAGGAAAAAAGTGTGCAAGACTTTCTTCCTCGCCACTTTGGGGATGAAACCCAAATCTGACGCCCCTATTCGGTTCGCTCTACTCGGGAGCCAGGAAGTGAGAGGAGCAGTTGCGCCAGCGGACAGAAGAGGTCGCCACACGCCTGCGCACAAGCTGGATAAGCAGAAAATCCAGGAGCATGTGCTGTCCTACGAACCTGCAGCTCCACATTATAGGTATCTCCATGCCCCAAACCGGCGTTACCTTCCGCAGGACCTCACCATATCTAAAATGCATAATCAGTACCTGGAGGACAACCCGTTGGCGACTTGCTCCCTCGAAAGCTACCGATCAGTTGTAAAGGGATCGAACATCGGCTTCACCAGACTAAGCCAGGAAGAGTGCGAAAGCTGCTCGAAGCATGAAATCCACAAAAAGGAGCATGGGTCCCAAGATGATCTGGATGGCTGCGAGGCATGTGCGGACCAAGTGCATCATCTGGAGCAAGTCCGTATTGCAAGAGAAGAGTACCGGAGCGACGCAGAGCGCGACTGGGAAGATGATGAACTCGTCGTCAGCGCGGACATGATGCGAGTTTTTATGCTCCCCGTGATGCCCCACAAGGTGTGTTTTTTTACCCCCCCCCCCCCCCCCCCCCCGACTCGTCGCTTTCAATGAGACTTTCAGCCCACTGCAACCCAGGGAAAAGGGCCGAAAACGCCACCCGCCGCACGCATTAGCTGTGCTGTGGCACGAGGGCCTGGCGGGAAGAGATGCAGTGGATGTGTCTTCCGCCTTCAGGAAGTTCTTTCACGCTAACAGGGACAAGCGACGGATTACCATTTTTGCTGATAACTGTTGTTTACGAAACAAGTGCTGGGTCGTGCTTTCAACGCTGATGCAAGCCGTGCAGAGTGATACTCTGGCCCTCGAGAAGGTGACGATGAAGTATCTTGAAAAGGGACATACAGCAATGAGTGCCGACGCCCACCACCAGGTCATAAACAAAACACTGAACTCCAAGAAGGCGGTGGAAGACTTCAAAGACTGGGTGGACCTGGTGGACAGCTGCACAGGCGTCAAGGCAGCTCCCCTGAGGGCAGAAGACTTCATCTGCGCAAGCGATATCTTCAGCGCTGCTAAGATAAAGGCTCTGCAAGGGGTTGGAAAACGGCCGTATCTGCGAAAGCTGAAGGTCATTGAAGTGCGGAGAGGCTCGAAGAAGCTGTGGACAAAGGTGGACTTGAAGCAAACGTGGAAAGTCTATGATCTCGTGAAAAACAAAGTCCAGCTGGACACCAGGATGGACCACAGGGAGCGCCCTCGTGGCGTCAACAAAGAGAAAATTGACCGCTTGTGCGGCAACCTGCTTCCACTCATGACTGCGCACAAAAGGACGTTCTGGAGAGAACTACAAAACGGTGCCCACCACATCATACGAGACCTGAATTCTATCTGAGGGTTTGCACTCGTGACGCGACGCTCCCGACAGACAGCCCTCGAGGAACGGCGATGTTAGTGTGTCGCGCTGTGTGTTTGGTGCAGTACCCCTTTCGTTGGCGGCATCGGAATTCTGATCGGAATCATTGATTGAGCGGCATTGGAGCTGAAGAGTTTGTTGTCATGCTCAGACAAACTTTGGAAGAAGACATAGATCGGATGCAAGGTGCTCCACCAACGTGCATTAATGCCACCAACTGTTTTCGATTGGATGCTGACACCCTTTAGCTTTACGGTGTTGAACTGTATGGGATTTTGTGACTTCAGATGCCATTTTGATGACCACATGGATCGAGTCGTGTGTTACGTCATCAAGAAGCAGCTATGTCCAAATGTGTTTACATATGCGTTCTAATCCTCCATCATCCGCTGGTTTTGTGAAGGCGCAGTTGACAAATGGATAGAATGGGAATTAGCGATGCTCTCTAGGATCGTTTTTTAATAAAGACCGTGAACCGAGCTTTGGTATGTTTATGCCATGGGTCCTAACCGTGGTTATTTATCACCAAGAACCTACCGCCATTCTGTCAAGCACAACGGGTACGCCTGACACCATATCTGACGCTCTACACCCAGCAAATGCTTCATTTTTACAGAGACGTTCCCCGCCCCTGAATTGCTTATGAATGAGATTTGGAGACACCGTTCTCTGGTACCGTGGAGCTGTTCAATCGCCCATACGATGCTTAGCAAGTGCATAGGAAAAGAACGATTCACTCCGCAAATACTTGTTTTTGCCGAGATAAGAGACGTTGCTGGGGCCCTTTTTACAATGGACAGAAACGCGTGTATTATGAGATACGCGTTTTCGCCCAGATACGCCTTTTTGACTTTGGCAACCATTAGGTTTCAGTACCGTCTTCCCATGTCAAAAAACATCCTCAGCAGTTAAGACTTAAGTTATTTCCAGTTATTTTCATTTTTTACATTGCTAGATAGAGAATTGCTTTCGCTTCCGATTGGTGTGCAATTTCTACTCATTGGTTCTCGTTTACGGCCATGACACCGAAATAACACAAAAAACCTTCTCCTGAACAATTATGAAATTGCTAGTTAAGCGTTTTTGACTTTTGACTGGTAGGTTTGTGGCCCAAGTCAGTGAGCTGCCTGACAAATTAGGGAGTTGCAGCATGATGTTTGCAGATAACACAACAGTCTACTGACAGATGGCTGACCATTGTGATGGAAAGGCTGTGCAAGAAGAATGGGACAAGCTTGACCTTTGGTCAGGCAAGTTATAGGTGCCCTGCAATGCACACAATTGCAAGGTTATGCACCATGGACAGCCAAACCATACTTTTACTTACCAAATAGGAAGAAAGGAGCTCAAGAGAATCAAAGGTGGAATAAACCTAGGAATATTGATTTAACAAAGACCTTACTCACTATGCATGAGCTGCAAGAGCTGCTATGAAAGCCATCAGAGCCTGGGCCCCTGGTCTAGTCAAAATGGCATTTGCTACTGCCAGACTGAATGCCAAGACACTGTCAGTGCTCTTTAAGTATTTGCTTACACACTTCTAGAATATGGCAACTGTGTTTGAGGACCAATAATGAACAGGAACCAAGATGCTATGGAACATGTCCAAAAATGCACCACCAAAGTTACTGCACAGATCTGGCATTATAACTATGATGAGCACCTGAAGATATTGCACCTGTCAAGCATGTGGTATGTAATATACCATACAAGATGCAAGAGTGGTGTTTTCACTTAATGAGGACAGAACAATTGTTGTGACAGTGTGGTGTATATGGAACAGCTTATATGCTGGATTGGTCCCTCCCTTGCTACACTCTCTTTCCCCATCCCTCTCTGATAAAAATAAGTTATGGATGGCCCCCAACAATATAACTTGAATACAGACCACCCATATACACTGTGGCCATGTCATTACCTGATTTGGAATAATGAAGATATTTCTGCATCATCTGATAAAATTTTTCAGTGAGATGGCCACCAACTGATCATATTTGGACAGTCTGACCCATCTGGCTTGAAGTCTATGGTCAAGGTATACATTGCTACCTCATGTTAAAAGAGCATTGTACATCAATGATCATATTTAAGGCAGAACATATCATATTAATAGTAAAACAGGTCATCTAAACTCTTACCCTGGAATTTAAATAACTGTGATGGTGAACATCTGAGAGCCGCAAGCATGCAGCAACAGCAACCCCGGTCTTCCATACTGTTTGTAGATTGGTTGACATGGTCGGCACATATGGTGTCTTTGGGTGGGGGAATGAAAAGCAAAATGAGAATATGGCAGCTCAACAAAACTTCTCAATACAGTACATATATATGGCATAGAACATGGATGCCAATAGGACACTGGGTTGAGGCTGATGGGGTGGGGAGGTTAGGTTAGGTTAGATTAGGTTAGGTTAGGTTGGGTTAGGTTCATTTAAGTTAGGTTAGGTTCATTATGGTCAGGTTAGGCAAATTTAGACAAATTTAGGCTATGTTTGAGGCTATTTTGGCCTGTCTGCTGTGTTAACATACCTACATGAGATAAGAAACATGTTCCATTGCATTATTGTTACCCTGGCTCCCTACATTTTCTATGGTTCTCGATAAGCAGAAATATTGCAACCACACAACGATGATGCAGAAACGGCGCTGGGGAGTTGAGGCGGTGGAGTGTGTGTGGTGCTTGGGAGCTCGATATCGTAGTTATTGCAATTTCAAGGTAGGAGCATGAATATACCTGTTTTATTATTATTTACAAGATGTTCCACCTTTAACATGACAAATGATGCACAAAAATTTTTTCTAACATTAGGTACCAATGAATACCTACACCAGCTTGGTCTATCATGCTGGTTCAGTCACTGAGGGAATCATACTGATGTTTCACCATTCAGATGGATGCAGGCTGCACAACTTGGAAACATAAATGTATGCCCAAGAAATAGAGCAAGGGACAGGGACGACTGTGTGTCACATATTCACTTAACTAAGCCAGCAATTGCTCTTCACCCAATTCCCTAATCCACCAAAACACTAGTCACAGTCATTCAATGTTGACAAAAGTACTCATCTTCTGAGAACCCAAATAATGACATTGACCAAGCCTTGCATCATACCCCCCAGCATGCATTCACATCGACGCACCTCCACGTTCTCCCCTGTTTCGAATTTCCTTCTCTCTTTACACTCTCGCCGACCCCGCTGACCCCAACGTTGGATGGCCTTGCACTGTCGTGAACATTGGCAAATATTGGGCAAATACGACTCGAAAGTGCGCCACTTTACACAGGTTTGTTCCTAGTTACCTGGTCAGATCACATGATGTCATAAGGTAAATTTACGGTCCTAGAAAGTCACCCCGTGCGGGGCTGTTCCCTCAATCCACTCGGGTGGGATCCATTAAAAATTTGAACCAACGCAAAAAGAGCTAACATATCTAAGTCGTTGCCCTATGGAAATAAGCCAACTGAATCTGACCCTATGGCACCGAAAGGAATCGCCGTTTCGTGGATTGGACATTTCAAAGCGGGGTGGAGTCAATTCTGACTGTTGCGAACCTGAATTATCTCGAATCCTGTCTAGCCGAGCAGCAAATAAATCCGAATCTGAATCCGATTTCGACCATAATGGTATGAGCTCTGGAGCGGATCGGGTCAAATCTTCGAACCGGGCCTCATTGTTAGTTAAACGAATCTGCTCACCTTCATAATCGTCATTTGAAC